CAAAGGCAGGGTGCAAATCCCCGCTTCCGCGAGGGTTTACTTGTCCTTTACTAGGGATTAGGCACCCTTTGCCAGGAGGTTATGCATCCTTTCCTAGGAGATTATGCATCCTCTACTAGGGATTATGCATCCTTTACTAACAGATTATGCATCCTCTACCAGAAGACGATGCATCCTTTACCAGGAGATTATACATCCTTTCCTCGGAGATTATGCATCCTTTCCTCGGAGATTAAGCATCTTTTACCAGGAGATTATTCATCCTTGACCAGATTTTGCATCCTTTACTAAGGGATTTTGCATCCTTTACCAGGAGATTAAGCATCGTTGACCAGATTTTGCATCCTTTACCAGGAGATTATGCAACTTTTATCAGATTTTGCATCCTTTGCTAAGGGATTTTGCATCCTTTACTAGACGGCGTGGCCGTTACTGCGGTGGGACAACGCCAATGCGCAGCGGCGGCTGGGCGAGTGTGGCTCCGGGGCCGCAGCGCCAACGGTGCCAGGGGCCCCGGTAAACCGAGGTGGCGGTGGGACGACACGACACGGCAGCAAGCGGTAAGAAAGGACGTCAAGCGACACAGCAAACGCGACAACAGCGGAGCACAGGCGACGTGTGCAGGCGTGTGTGCGTGCACACGTGTGCGTGCGTGTGCACACGTGTGTGTGTCCAAGGCCCAGACGTGGTCCCACCAGGGGCTGAGGGAGCCAAGGCAGATGGGGGAAATGACCATCCAGAGAGGTGCTGGGAGGAATTGGGAGGTGTGGGATGGTGCTGGGAGGTACTAGGAGGTGTGGGGAGATACTAGGAGGCACTGGGAAGTGTAGAGCAGTACTGGGAGGTATGGAGAGGCACTGGGAGGTGTGGGGAGGCACTGGGAGGTGTGGGGAGCTACTGGGAGGCAATGGGAGGTGTGAGAAGGTCCTGGAAGGTACTGGAAGGTGTGGGGAGGTACTGGGAGGCAAAGGGAGGTGTGAGAAGGTCCTGGAAGGTACTGGGAGGTGTGGGGAGGTACTAGGAGGCGCTGGGAGGTGTGAGGAGGTACTGGGAGGTACTGGAAGGTGTGGGGAGGTACTGGGAGGCAAAGGGAGGTGTGAGAAGGTCCTGGAAGGTACTGGGAGGTGTGAGGAGGTACTGGGAAGCACTGGGAGGCATGGGGAGGCATGAGGAAGAACTAGAAGGAACTAGGAGGTGGTTGGAGGACCTGGGGGCACTGGGAGAAACTGGGTGGCACTAGGAGGCACCGGAAGGTGCTGTGAAGCACTGGGAAGAACTAGGAGATGCTGGGAGCCATGAGAGGTGCTGGGAGGTGCTGGGAAAACTGGGAGGTGCTGGGAGGCACTGGGAAGCACTGGCAGTCATGGGAGTTGCTGGGAGGCACTGGGAGGTGCTGGAAAGCACTGGGAAGAACTGGGAGTTTCTGGGAAGAACTGGGAGGTGCTAGGAGAGGTAAAGCCCCATACTTTCCCCATCGTCCCCATTCCCTGCCTGCCAGCACCCCAACGCCCACCCCAGGGTGTGCCCCACGTGTCCCCCTTGTCCCCACGAGGACACCACTCTCCCCCAGCCCTGTCCCCAAAACCCACTGCCGCTCCCCGAGCGTGGGAGGGCCCAGGAGTCCAGGCCCCAGCAGCCCCGGTGCTGGCAGGGGACTCACGTGAAGGCAAAGGCCACCAGCGCCCCGCTGACCACGATGAAGTCCAGGATGTTCCACAGGTCCCGGAAATAGGCACCTTGGTGAAGCACCAGCCCCAAATCCACCATCTGCCAGGAGGGGGACGGGACAAAGGGGTGAGGAGGTGCGGGGATGGTGGGACCCCCCCACTCCATGCCCTGCTGCAGGTCGCCCCCTGCTCACCTTGATCACCATCTCAAAGGTGAAGACACCCGTGAAGACGTAGTCGAAGTAGCGCAAGACCTGGGCACGACAGTGAGAAGGTCCCAGGGGTGCCAAGGACACTGGTGTGGGGCCATCTGGGCCACCTAGCCTGAGCGGTGCCCAGTGGCTCCTTAACAGGACCCCCAAGGTGGATCTTGGGGGTAGGAGAAGGTGGCCACAGGGATGAGCAGCCCCATAGCAGGACTCCTGAGGTGGGTCGTGGGGGCAGAAGAAGGCAGAAACCCTTTTGAAGATGGTGGGACAACCCCAGATGCTGGTTTTGGGAAGCCCCGATTGACCTGTGGTGCCATGGCTTGGTTCCTGGGATCTTACTGGCACTTTCCCCAGCCTCAACCCCACAAGATGCCCCAGGGCTGGTGATGGCCTTCTTCCCTTTGGGATGGGGTTGGAGGGAAAAGGGCTTCTCCCATTCCTCCCACCCAAGCGTGTCATTGGGGTGGCTGCGACAGGTGCTCACGTTGTTGCGGGGAGCGTTGGGCTGCACGGGGTCCTCGGCGGCCAGAGCGATGCTGCTCATGGCGATGACCATGAGGATGCACATCTCAAAGTAGCGCAGGTTGACGATGTAGTGGCACAGCCGGCGAAAGCTGGAAAAGCCGGGGGGCACGGCGGGGAGGGATGTGGGGAGCTGGCCGTATCCCTCTCTGGGTCCCATGGCCAAGTCCCCCATGCCAGGGTGGCACTCACGGGTTGGTGGTGGAGAGGATGAACATGGAGCTGTACGGCACCATGGGCTTGGGTCCATTTTCCTCTTGATCATCAGCTTCTTCCTCTTTCTTCTCCTCCTCTTTCTTGGGCAGTGGGTCGGGGTTGGCGTTCTTGTTCACTGCGGGAGAGGACGCATCAGAGCCGCCCAGAAAACCCAAATTCCCTGGGGATGGAGCTAGGTGGTCACCCACACCCATGTCTACGCCTACCTTGGATGACGGTGTTGTGGACGGGCGGCGGGAAGGGCGGTGGGATCTCCACGGCCGTATGCTCAGGCTTCTTGGCTGCCTTGACTGGGTTGTTGTGGGGGCCGGGGTTGGTGACGATGAGGCTGTTCTCGGGGGTCTTGGGGGGGCCCGAGGGGTTGTTGGGCACCCGGCGGTTGGCGGCGGTGGCTGGGGGCTGGCCCGCCAGGCACTCGGTGTGGTTGCCCATGGGGGCCCGGCTGGGCGGCAGGCCCCCGGCAGCGGCCGGGGGGGGGGGGGCGGGGGGGGGGCCGGGAGAGGGCGGGCCTGCCAATGCCTCTTCATCGCTGCGGCAAGCGAGTAGTTAGGCCCAAATGCCTCTTGTTGTGCGAAAGCGCCAGCAGCAGGCACGGCGTCAGGTTGGGAA